GGGATTTGGTTTCGATTCTTCTTGTAATCAGTCTTGTACTTCGTGTTTATTTTATACTGACGTATTTTTTTTCATTCTGTTAAAAGAAATTTATTCACGTTTATTTTTTATTTATTTTTGTGAACGTTTTCATATATTCGTGAAACTATTCGTTCATTATGTTTTATTTTCATCGACTTATATTTTCAGTTATGTTTATTCCCATGTTTATAGACATTTATCGTTTTCTTCAACGGACTTTCATTCTCGTTTTTTTTGTTTTTTCCTATGACCATTCGTTTTTCAATATATTATGGAATTCTTTTTATAAATACGCTTTCATCGCCATTTTAAAGATAAATTCTAAACTGCACTTTTATTACACGTTAGCAGTATCTGAACATTCAAACAATACTTTCATATTTTTCTTTTTTTTTTTTTTCTCCAAATTCTCTCGTAAGCGTAGTTTCAGATTTTTTTTCTTCACAAAAGCGCAATTTCCCAAAACCTCATTTCATTTGCGTGTCTTTTTCCCCTTTCATACCATAAGAAATAAAATTCCTACCACGAAATGTCTGAGAGGTAACGAGCATATATATATATTTTTTTTTATCATTTCTTTTCTTTCATTCTTACTTATTTTTCGTCTTTTCTCTTCGAACAGTGTTTATATCTGTCTTTTCCCGTCTGAAGATGGACATTTTTGACATCTGTTGATATATCTTTAAATCACACATCCTTATAACCACACACTACCATCCACATACAGCTCACCAGCACATAAACCTGCACACAACCCTCACTCAACGCATAAAGCTACAAAACCTACACACATTCACGACACTCGAAAGTAAGCTTACAATACAATACAGCATGCCGCACTCACGCGTGAACCCTGCACACACACAAAATTCCGCCCACTTATGATAAATGGCATCCACCGACACCCCGCGCACGATCTTTGCAATAACGCTGCATCCAATCACTACTTTATATTAAGAGGCTTTCCCGCGTAAAGGTAACGGTAAAGGGCATTATATTAATGATGGCGCCTGCACTACTTCGCGTTGTCCGTTTTACGTATATAATGCCAATATGTAAGCAAAATATTATTGACTTCGTTCTTGTCAATATGTATTGGCTTATATTTTTATGAAATATAAATTTTCTTTGGAATTTTAGCTGTGGTTGGTTGGTCCGTTTCTTTGTTTGGGCAAATTTTTTTTGTGAATGTGTTCTACTTTTCTGAATTTGTAGTACTGTAATATATTTAATCTAGGGATAAAAAAAGAGCCAATTGTCTACTTTTTTTCGATCGAGATTTGGCTGTGGAGTGTTGTCCGATGAAGTTTTTGGAATTGGCCCCATTTTCGCTTATCTCAATGATTTGACACCTATCTGCTTTCCACTAATTTATCCTGGTTTGAGTTAGAAATGTGGCGGGTTGAGCATACTTACACTTTTAGCGATGTTCGTCGTGCTCTAAGGGAGTATTCAGCGAATTTTTGTTCTTTTGTTGTGCTGCGAATTTGGGTTTGCGAGTTGATTGCTTATTCTTGATAATGCAGTCGGAGGATTACGTGTATGTCTTATGTGTTTGTATAGGCGTTCGGAGTACGCCGCGTACGCCGTATTCGTTGTCTCTTCTAATGCGTGTGTGGAGAAAGAAGATGTATTGTTTGATAAAATTATTATTCGGGTGAACAGTTTTCCATAATAGCTTCAGACGATGATACGGAGCGGAAAAATATTAGATTCGCCGTTATATTCGCGCTGATTCATGGTATCAGGGACATCTCTTCGCTGCAGCTCTGGCGGTTCTACGGGGCGAGCAGATACGACGGGGCGGAGCCACTCTTTGCGCAGACCCGGACACTCGAGGCCAGAGTGTGTGGTAGAGTGATATGCGAGTGACGTCTGGTGTAATGACTAGCGCATCGAACATGAGTTTGCAGAACCGCCCTGGCGTATGTCTCGGCGCCGAGCGTAGACTTCCTAGACTGGCGAGCTTGACGTCAGTCCGGTATAGAAATCGTCGCCATATAGGCGATTCGTGACACGAGACGTGTTTAACTTCGTAATTGAGATCTTCGCGTCTAAGTGACTTGCATCGTACTTCCTATCTTTGCGTATGGCGCGATAATTTGTCGATTGGTCATACAGTGTATCACGTCGTGTGCCCTTATGAGATGAGGCATAACGTCTTATTGTAACTCATCACACGCGGCGCAGCGCATATCGGACCGACGTCGCACCTAGAGTGATGATACTCAAAAGACCAGTTTCGTCATGGAGTGACTAGTGATCTTGTGTTTCCGTGAACAACGTATCGCTGGGAGTATGCGATGTAGTGACGCTTTATATCACTCAGAGATCCCATGGAGGAGGATCACCGGATAACACCAGCGGCAGCTACAGAAGGCGCTAAGATTGATAGCCAGCAGCCGCTCCCACGCTCGCGTTTTATTCATTCAGCGATCTTCCACAGTACAACTGGCGCCGGAGCCTGTAGCGGCCTGTC